TGAAACTTATTTTGTGGCCTACAATACAGTACATCCTGGACAATGTTCCATGTGTGATGAGAAGAACCATTGGAGGTCATGTCCTGTGCCATGCTTCCTCTTAGCCAAAAGGCTAAGAAGTGGCAGAATGCAGTGTTCTGTGAATGTGTGTTTGGTCTGGTTAGCCTGTGGTATGATTCAACTCTGATCTTCTTTGTTGATTTATGTAATCATTTCGGATTTTTCATCAGTCCATTGATGAAAGTGGCTGCGTAAGTCTCCAACAGTTGTATGAGCATCCATCGCTTCCTGTAGGTCCAATCATGTGTTCAAGAGGACAGGGGCTAGGAAAAGAGGCAAGGTGAGGAACCAAAGCAAGCTGGGAAGGAGATCCATCAGTAAGAGGGAAGGATGCTTCTTCCTGGGTTTCCCCACATCAGATGAAGTGAGGGGGTACAGCATGTGTCAGGTGATCAGGAAACAAAAAACAATGACTGACTGAGACGAGCTCAGTCTGTGTGGAGGGATACATGCCAGATGGCTGTATGAATACGACCAAGTAAAAGAGACTTCTTGCAAATAAGGGAGAACCTGGATGTCACAAGAAATCCAACAAGACAGAAGACCTGGGACGGGGTGACAGGAGAGGGTGAGATGATAGCCTTTGTGTCTTTGCCAGGTCTGGGGAATTTGAAAATAGGAAAAACCAGAAAGGAGGGGGCACAAGAGAGGGTACTTACTTAAAGCACGGTGGGAGACATTAAACGTTTTTCCACAAATGCCAACAGCTTGATTGCTTTGGACAGGCAGTTCCATAAACTTCCTGCAGAAACTCCCCCGTCATTCCTTCTCATCGTCATCCTCCTCCTCATACAAGCTGTTCTCGGAGCACAGATTAAGTCATCTTGAAGGAGCTCTTATTCCACACTTCTCATGTGGCGTTTGCTTATCTTCATAGCTTCCATATCTGCTCTCTGGCCTTTCCTCTGCTTTCTCCCTTCCACCTGTTTTTACCCTGGCCATGCTGCTGTCATCTTGCTACTGTCCTCTGTTCCCCTTGCTGTCCTATTTATCGCCATCACACACACACACACACACACACACACACACACAGCCTCTTCCATGATCTGAGTAGTGTTGTCCCTTCACAGCTGGATTCCTATACAGCTGTTGTTTCAGGGCTAGTTCTGTCTCCTGCTTTATACCAGGAACCTGAGTATCAAGTCCAGATTCCCCAGCTTAGCACACAGAAGAGCCACCTCATCTGTTGGCAAACTTGTCCCAGATGGAACCCAAGAACACAGTAAGTCTCCAGGCTTACTATCTTCCCAAGAGTGACCTAGATAAAAGATCTGCCTGGTCCTTTCTGAAGTCATCTAAAGGGTGTCTGAAGTGATTAACCCTTTCCCCAGAGGGTAGAGCCTTGCTCTAACCTAACTTGATTGAGACCCTTTCATTCTAACATCAGTGCTTGGGGGTGTTTTTGACTGAGTCTTGACTTTGTACACAAGCTCTGCCCATCATCTGATCCACACAGGGTCATCTCGGGGCTCCTTCTTAAGGCAATGATGGTCAATAAGGAATGGGTCAAGACAATGGCATAGACAGATTATGATTTTATGACTGAGTCTCATTGATGACCAAGAAATGAATTCATCTATACCAGCTTGTTGAACTGTGAATTGACACCTCATGGGGTCACATAACTGAATATGCTGGTCACCAAAACATTAGCAACAGGCTTTTGAATGTGCTGTCATCAAAACTTAATTCAAAACCAAATCCAAGGTGTTTTTGGCAGTATCTTGTAACTTTACTGCCTTGGTTCTGAGCATACAACATGTGCACTTCACACAGAATATGCTGTCATCATGCTACACGCCACCAAGGAATGCTGTCCGAAACCCTCAGCTTGGAGTCAACAGCTGCCTGGTGTTGGGAACGGCAGTGTTTTTACTGTGCAAACAATTCTGCTCTTATAGAAACACAGTGCTTTAATTACAGAAAAAGCAACTTTTAATGTCTCCTGCCATCATTCTTCAGCAAGTAAATATCAAATTAGTGTATCTTTGGATTGGATTGTAATAGAATTCTTGTTTGTAAAAACCACAGTTTGAGTTGCTGACTAGAGTTTTGTTAAGGCATCGTGAAATGTGGACTGGATATCATAGACTATCTTGTTGCTATTCCTTAAGCAGTAAGTCTAACGACTATTTGCAAAGACTTGATATTGTATTTGATATTTTAAAACATTTGGCGTGTGTGTGTGTGTGTGTGTGTGTGTGTGTGTGTGTGTGTGTGTGTAAACATGCACACAGATTACGCACCACAGCGTGCATGTGGAAGTCAGAGGACAACCCTTGAAAGTTGGTTCTCTCCTTCTACCATCCACCTGATCCCTCAGGGATCAAACTCAGGTCGCCAGGCTTAGCAGTAAGCACCTTTACCCACGGAGCCATCTTGTCCACCCCTGTGTTTGGTGTAAGTAACCCAGGATGATTTACTTAAAGTACATAGGAGGATAGTGCAGGTTCTGTGAAACACCATGCCATTTTACAGGGAGGGGCCTTGGGCATATGTAGGGATGCTGGGCCACACACCCCTTGGATACTGAGGACAGCTGTAATTGCCCTAGAAAACCTCCCTTTAAGTCATTTAATCTTCTCTTTTCATGGATAGCTGAAGGGAAAAAGTGTGACTTGATCCGAGGCAATTCGAGTCTGTATGTAATTAGGAGATAAAGGTGTTTCTGTAATTAGCACAACATTTTAGAGGAAGTCCAGGTACCAGGTTAAATTCCGTGAAGTTTATCTTGCAGACCTGTGGTTGGGCCTCGGTCTTGCCACAAAGGCAGTCATAGCTCAAGTCAGGCCTCAGGAATTTACCCAACAGATGCAGCCTCAGAGATAAGAGCTAAAGGAAGCCTGGACTTGAACGAGCAGACAAAGGCATTTGAAGGGTTCTAACTGGCACCAGCTTTCTCAGAGCAGTTTTGGGTTCCAGCAAGCTGCCAAGCAGTGTTTGTGACTTGGCGCCAACTCTGTGAAAGGATGAATCCTTTTCATCTCATCTAGATTTTCGAACAGCCTCTCAACAGGGGCTGGGCCAAAGTCTGGGGAGACCCAGGCAAAGGGACCTGTTCTGCTCAGGCAAGAACAAGGCAGACGTGACTCAGTAAGTGGGACCTTACTGCTTAGTGTTTTCCCCATTTTAACACAGATTTTTACAGACTTTGTATACATATAATTCACCATAAAATATGGCAGTACCGCATTTTTCAAGAGAACCAACCAGACTTGTCATACTGAAATACGAGATTAAAAATAATAATAAAAAGTAGGTTAATCCCAGTACTTGAGAGGCAGAGGCAGGTAGGTTCAAGGCAAGCCTGGTCTACATAGTGAGTTTCAGGACAGCTAGGACTATGTAGAGAGACCCTGCCTCAAAAAAGGTAGTCAGGGAAACTAGAAGGTGCATCTGTTTGTGGGGGTGGGATGGGGTTGACAGATAAACATGGGAGGACACACCAAGTTCCCATTTGACCCGTGAGGAACCTGTATGGTGTGCTAGAAAACTGTGGCCATGCATAGGGCAGTAGTTAAGAGCCCGGAAGCAGTCCTAATCTAGGCTGATTTAGCAAGAGGCAGGACAGACGAAGTATTCCTAATCCAGGCTTTGTACCAGTGCACTTCAGATTCTTGAGGGTGCTTCACTTGTTGGCTTCGGGGGTTTTTTGGTTGATGTTTGAGGATTTTGGAATATCTGAATACTGGTTAACACCCCTAATCTGGAAATCCAAAGTCAAAATGCTGCAAAGTTCATGTTGGCACTCAAAAGATTTCAAAGCATTCTGGCTTTCAGATTTTTCAGGTTGGGAATACTAAACCTATATGATTCTGGTTTATGAAGCAAGAAATGATCCCAATTTGAGAGCAGTCAGCGTCACGCAGAAGGCCCACAACCTGAGAAAGAATAATTAGCTCCTAGACTGAAAATGTTTATAAGTGCTTAGGTTTGCGATTTGCATTGAGTGTTGGTTCCCAGGCTAGCTCGCCGGGAGAAGTGGCGAGGCTGGGGTCCTGTCCCAGCAAGCTCCACCATTTGGGCAGGTGACTCTTAGACTTTTCTGCATTGCCTTGATTAGAACTGATGAGGTTCACTGAAGAATCCTGAGATGTGGTAATGTCCTGGGGTACCCTACTCATGTGTGTGGATGCATAAATGTGCTGTTAAAGATGTTATGAGGGGATGGGCTATGTGTGTGTTGGTTCCTGTGAATAAGGAGGTTTTGGATTTTGTGGTACTGTTTATCTTTTTGAACTGTTCAAGTAAAGAGGTGCAGACCAGAAGAAATGATTGTGCATTTTCTACTAAGACACAGAGGGAAGGCCAAACCAATCATGAGAGGCAAATTTCCATGTCATGCAAATTTCCAATTAACTTGAGCTCAGTTCAAAATGGCTGCTCTCAAAGGGTGCTGAAACACAAGGCAGACAAAGATGCTCTTAAGAACGCTTGTCAGGAAGTGTCTATTGTTGGTGTGGGGTTTTTTGAGACAGGCTCTCATGCAGCCCAAGCTGGCCTCAAATTTTATGACTGAGGATGGACTCAAACTCTTGATTCTCCTGTCTCTACTTCCAGAATACGGGGATTATAGGCATGTGCCACTGCTTTAAAACGGCTTTATGAAATGTGAAAAAATTCTGAAATTTGCTTCTCTGATGTGAAGTTGTGCTTTTATCTCCTTCCCTGGTCTAGCCTCTGCCACACACTCACACATGCATGTAGCTACAAATACATACTTAAGTAGGTTCTATTTCAACATTTTCAAAATAACGATCTGAAGCAGATTGCTCTAGTACGTATTCAATGATTCCCGCCTTTTTAGCTTCAGGGATGCTGACAGCCTCACCTCAAAGCCCCCTCCCCCAAGCGTACCCCCTCCTTGCTTCAGTGCCCACACACTGAGCAATTCCCAAATCAAGAGCATCTGGGGTTAGAAAAACACAACCAGGCTGGAATCACCTCTTCTTTGAAGACTTTATTTGCCACTTCCGTCCTTTTCCCACCAATGCTCATCCCATCAAAGCCACTCAACAGCTGGAAGCAATGCCACAGCAGCCCAGACAGCTGGCTGAGCATGCCTGCCCTGGCCCAGAGCATCACAAGGCACCGTGGGTACCATCGGCTCAGCCTGGAACTGCAGAGGGAGGGCGGGCCACCTCCCACTCCTTAGCGGTTTGCCTCAAAAGCACTAAGCACTATTGCATTTGTTCTCCTTTAAATACCTTTTAAAATTCTTTTTTTGTTTAATAATAGAAAACAAAAAGTAAAACCTTCTATAATTTATAAGCTATCTTTTGCTATCTACATTATATATAAAATATAGACTCTGTTTTACTTTATAACACACATCTTTTCCCTTTGATAAATAACTTTAAAATATCTAGTGTACATGCTTTGACTTTTTATACATAAGTTTGGTTTTATACATATACATACATATATACTCACATCTGTAAAACAATAAATATACACTTGACAATGACAGCCAAACCAATGCAATTTTGGTTTTAAAAAAGGAAATGAAAACAAATGACATACTATAAAAGCACCAGGCAGCAAACAAAGCCGTAATTGCTAGAAAGTTCCCCCTCCCCTAAACAAGGGGCAGGGCAGAATAAAGGGGCGGGGCAGAATAAAGGGGCGGGGCAGAATAAAGGGGCGGGGCAGAATAAAGGGGCGGGGCAGGTCACAGGCTTTTGCTTCTTTGCCTGGGATGTCACTCGGCACTACAAATAAGCCACTGCATTTCCTAGAAGCTATGGGGCTCGTTGAACAGCCTAGCCCTTATGGTGGCTGCAGGGGACAGCAGAGAGCTGGACAGGGCACAGGAGACAACAGTGATACGGTGACTCCATGGCCAGGATGACTTCCCTGCTCCACTGACCCAGGCGAGCTTTGCACTGAGCATCAAGCATTTCAGCTAGAATGTTCTTGTCATCACTCTGTTCTCTGCTGGTGTAAACAAAGGGCTGCAGCAGAGTTGAGAGGATTCAGTAGTGCAACATGTCAGTAGCCTGGAAGAGAGCCAGAGGCTTCTTTGGCCCTCAAGGGCTCCAGCAAATAAGGACCCTGATGCAGGGAAGAAAAGGCCAGTTGGGTTGGCTACCTCCCCTTTACTGATGCAGTCATTCAGATTGCCAAACTCCGAGGAGACCACGAGCCTCTCACCCTTAGAGAAGTACAAGAGGGTGTAACAGCTCTGCGGAGAAGTTCTGGAAGCCCCAGCTAAACTCAGAACATGATCCACCTGCCAGACACTGACCAGGGTGGCCATTGGAACAACACAAGTGCCAGAGAAGACCCTGGAGCCATACCGTAGACTCTGGAACGTTCCCTTCTTCACCCCCCTGCCTTGTCCAAAGGAAACAAACAGGATGGTCAGACAGGTGCTATTTTCCCCAAGTTCCCCATTATCACCCTGTTCTGCAAACTCCAGGGGTTTGGTGGACAAAGGAAATCACCAGTGGATGGAGCAAGAGTCATAGGCTAGTCAGAGTCAGAATCTGTATCCAGCATCAGGACAACAGGCAATAGTAGAGTGGGCCTCAAGTCCTCCTCAAGGTGAACATCTGACTCTGTCCCCTCACCTCCATAAAGGTGCAAATTAGAGATAACCCTTCTGCTATAGTCACAAGTTTTCTGATTACTTTGAAGACACAATTGAGGCTGGAAGTGTGGCTGAGTGGTAGAGAGCTTGCCTAGCATTCACAAAGCCTTGGCTTCTGTCCCTAACATACACATAGTCTTGTAACGTGTTTGGAAAATAAGGGCTTGCCTGTCACAGCTTAGTGAATACTGTCCAGTGCGGGTCTGTGTTCTCCTTCTGGCCTATTACCTACCCAGACTGATCACCTGGATGAGCCTTCCTTCCCTGTGTGGTTGGTGAAGTTAGGAAGAAACTGAGAATCAGGAAAATGGGCTTCCCAACCCCGGATCTACCATTAAAGAAGCGGATGACCTTGGCCATTATATTCCTCTCTTGGCTATCAAAGGAAGAATCTGAGAGATGCCACTCTGAAGTCCTCTCATGTGCTATTGGGTTGACTTTCTCCTCAGGGCATCCTTAACAGAGCTTATTTCCTGCAGTACCCACTGGAAAAGGAGACCAGATCAGAAACCTAATTTATAACCACAGGTCAAGTTCAATGGCTACAGTCACTGTACAAGATGAAGGAAGAAAGCGTTTGATGGAACAATGAATGGCACAGCTAAAACCCAAGGCCCAAACAAACCCCAAAGCCCCCCTTCCTTCGAAAAGATGTCTTCCTATGTTATACTTCGGCCTCAGCAACAAAATCCAAGGCCATCTATCATAGCCAACAATGCTTAGAAAGTCCCCAGAGCTGAGGGTTGCCGAGTCATCTACAATTAAAGCTCAACACAGGAAATCCACCTCAAAAGAAGTCGAGTGACATTTCCATTTGGGAAGGGGAAGAAAACCCCGCTGCTTCTGTAGGCAGCTGCAATTGCCAACCTGTTGGCAGGACATCAAATTTTGCATCTTATTCAACAAGGAGAGTGCTGTGGCTTTCAGTCCTCTCTTCTTACAGTGGCTCCTTGGGGTGGGAGCACGCCCCCTACAGGGCTTCATGAGGAATGCTTTTCCTGGCAAGAACAGCGAAAGTACAAATTGTGGCTTGCTCACTCACTGTGTGGCTTTGGGCGTGTTACATCTTCATATGTACACAGAGGGAATGAGACAGAACCCAATACTAATTTTATAGATAATAAGATGATGCATCTACAACACTCTGTGTTCAGTGGGTAAGCCAGGTGACGCTACCTTGAGTGCTGACAGGACCTGACACTATGGGACGTGCTACCAAGGATTCTAAGATGCTTTGAAGGAACCCCATGATGCAATTTTTACCATGGAGGGGAGAAGTCTTAGAGGAACTGACAGTGACCACAGAGGAGTTCTAGACTCCAAGTTTTGCAGAACCTGGACCATTCCCAAACACTTGTGTATATTTTTTACCATGGAGGGGAGAAGTCTTAGGGAACTGACAGTGACCACAGAGGAGTTCTAGACTCCAAGCTTTGCAGAACCTGGGCCATTCCCAAACACTTGTGTATACCTATTTAAAAATCTCTGGGAATCTGGACTTTTGTAGAGGCCATATATAAAATAATGTATATATAAAATGATGGGAACAAGGCCAGGGGAAAATGAATGAAAAGGCCCCAAACAGCCTCTGTTCCACCAGGCCTTTAAACCAAGTAAAAAAAAAAAAATAGAAAGTGGCTGGGTTATTGCCAGAACTTAGATCAAAGTCAATTTGCAGAGTGTTGTCGAAAGCTTGGATTCCGGTCTCATATTGCTGTAGCTGATCAGAAATCTGCATGTGAGATGCCAAGGGCCGAAGGAGCCCTACAGAAGGCCCCAGACCATCTGTTGTCATTTTTACATTTGAAGAACTGCCTCCCCCTCCTGTTTCTACCTCTACCACATGCATTCCAGTCGCTACAACTTCAGTACACTCACTACTTACTCATGCTTCTTCCGAAGAACACATATTCTTTCTACAGCCCCTAACCTCAAATGAAAGTTTTGGTTTTAGACCCGGCATGTTTATCACAGAGACCAGAGGCCTCTAGAGGGAAAACCTCAAATATGAGGGAAGTAGAGAAACAAAAAATTGAAAAATTGAAATCACAAGAATATCTACTCAGGTAAATGACTTGGAGTTGTCTACTATGTCCCTGATTTCATCCTTAATCACAGATTTTCAGGGTAGCTAGAGGAAAAATTGCTTTCCTAAAGAGCAATTTATGAGAGCAGGAACCAAAAAAGCCAAAAAGTCTATGATGTGGCCCTGTGCACAGATTATCAGTTTTGGTCTGAGAGTGTAAACCTGAAACACTGGCCATAAGGGGTGGCAACCAATCAGCTACCTTTACCATGTTGAACAGGGGCTCCGAGCAAGGCAGCATCCGCTCCTTCGTGCTAGAAAAGGACCATCATTCCACTGGTGTGTGGGCTCCAGTATGACTGTGCCTGTGAATTACCAGGGTCCCAGGGAGGAGCACTGCCTGGATTCTAAGCAGACTACTTACAGGGACTAGTCTATACCCAGGCTCAAAACTACCCCATGCCCGGTGAAGGTTAGCAAAGCCAACCAAGAAAAAGAGAACTCCCTGTTTTCAGTCTTGACCTTTCTTTAAGACCAGACTCGAGTTTTAAAGACTGTTTTAGTCATATTTGAGGATAGCAAACATTTGCAAATATGTGTCCATGTGACAACAGGCTTTGTCTCTGCCGACATCTAAGCCAGTACTGGTCCATCTCTAGTTTCACACGGAGGGTAAAAAGACAAGGAGAGGAAGTGAAAGATTTTTTTTTTCTCAACGTGAACCTTCTCCACCTACGTAGACCCCTCTTGGGGATCTAAAGCCCCATTTTAGAAACACTGAAAATATGTTCTCTGTTGGCTTTTTGTCTTAATACCTATTCAAAAGTTTCCAGCCGTCAGAATCCTAAAAGCCAAGGCCAAAGGTAAGGAAGGGAAAGAGCCCTGGCTCTTCTGAAGGGAAAAGTGTTCTGTGGAAGTGAAGGGAATGGCTTCCTGTTTAAACCCACAAATGTCTAATGTCTTTCCTCCTCCGTGTCTTTCTTCAGCTTGGCAGTTGGGCTTACAGCAACTCTGGGGCTGGGCTCATGTTCCCTTTTTTGGGGAGCTCATACTGCAACACCCAGGAATGCAGCTGTCCTGACCCAGACAGGCAGCGACAGGCAAGCCCATGCTATGTGTGGCATTCTTAGCGTTGCCTAGAGAGCATGGCAGGACCCCTGGATTGCCACTCACACTAGTCCCACCCCCTACGGAAGGAGGGCTCTGAAGTGGCTCCTGCAGCCTGTCTGTTGTCTTGGTCACCTCAGAGGTACAGCTTACCACCTCATTCGCTCTCCATTGCAGAAGCCCACCATACCAGGTGAACATCAGTGAGCCAGTCAGATAGGCCCTGACGCTTCCTAGGACACAAAGCAATCAAGGAAGCTGTGCACTTTGCTACCAAGTACTTTTCCTTCAGATCCTTAAAGTAAAACACACAGTGGCTTCCTGGAATTACAACTTTTTTTTTTACCAGCCCCACTCACCTCCTCTACCTCCCTACACCAAAAAAAAAAAAAAAAAAAACAAAAAAACCAAAAAAACAAAAAAAAAAAACAAAAAAAACCACCAAAAAACAAAAACACCAAAAAATCCTTTGTAGACACTTGATGAAGTGCCCTCTCCTGCCAGTGGAGGGCGCTGACAGAGAGCCTAGCTCCCACTGAGCTTGTCATCAGATACACAGCCTTGGCTTGCAAAGACGGCCAAGATATGTGGATGGATGAGGTAGGGCAGGGGGCAGCCCCTCCTTGCTTCTCACAGTAATGGAGTACAAAGGTGCTAGGTAAACCTCCTTCCTTTCATCACATACCCAACTAGGAGGGCACGCCCTCCTGAATATGAAGTCGGCCCACCACCACCTTGGATTTGGGGGGCCCTCTACCGAGGACCGGGACCACCCTCTTACGCTGTGCATTCACGCTGCCCTTCCCACAATCCCCACCTATGTCTACCCTCTCCACAGAGCATTTCCCCCTAACTGGCCCCACGCAGCAGGTCGAGTCCACCAGGTCCCACTGCTAACAGTAGAGGGACATCCTGCTTCTGCGCATAGCCTCACTGATCAGGTAGGCGGGGCTCAGCTCCGGCTCCTCTGTCATGATGGCAATGTTCTGCCACTCTCCAGTCTGGCTGGACCTCTTGATGGTGTCTACCACGCAGAGAGCATACAGGCAGTCGTCGAAGGTGGCAGCCATGGTAAGAGGCCGACCGTCCCACGTGCGCCGGTCATCCTGATCCTGGAAGGCCTGGCGCACTGCCTGCATCATCTTCATGGTGCCCCGCAGGTAGGGCGAGGGGATGTCGCTGAACGCCTTCTCAGGCAGCAGGGAATTGCTCACGGATGTAGTGTCCTGCAGCAGCAGCTCCTGCTCCGGGGCGCTATTGCGCTGTCCATAGAGGTCAGTGCCTACTGCCAGAAGCCTCCCGGCAGAGCCCACCACAGTCACGTCCTGCTTGAACTCTCCAGGAACGTTGAAGTTCAGGGTCACGGTGCAGCACACTCCACCCTCCAGCACCATCTGGAAGGTGCAGAAGTCATCGCTGGTGATCTGACGGATACCCTTGATGTGGTCCGTCTGCTTTACAAAGGTCTTGAGCAGCCCGTGGACCTTGACGGCCTTCTGGCCTGTGAGAAAGGTGAGTAGGTCGATGATGTAGGTGCCCACGGAGTGCAGGCCGCCACCGCCCATCAGGTCGTCGCAGCTCCAGTTGTACTTCTTGCCCAGCAGACTGCCGCTGTGCACCTGCACCTCGCACACCAGCAGCTCGCCCACATAGCCCTCCTCGATCAGCTCCTTCATGCGCACGAAGGCTGGCAGGAAGCGCAGCACGTTGCCCATGATGCTCATGAGCTTGGGGTAGTAGTGGGCGGCTGACATCATGCGGAAGGCGTCCAGTGGCGTGGCAGTACGGTCACAGATGACATTCTTGCCTATGCCTGGGGAGAGCAAGAACAGTAGTAGATCAGTATGCTGGGGAAAAAGATTGTGACCCCAGAGGAGCAGAGCCCTGTGTCCATTTTCATACTCTTTCCTAACATATAAAAGTACTTCATCTGCCGGGCGGTGGTGGCGCACGCCTTTAATCCCAGCACTCGGGAGGCAGAGCCAGGCGGATCTCTGTGAGTTCGAGGCCAGCCTGGACTACCAAGTGAGTTCCAGGAAAGGCGCAAAGCTACACAGAGAAACCCTGTCTCGAAAAACCAAAAAAAAAAAAAAAAAAAAAAGTACTTCATCTATTGCCTAGCGTGTGCAAGACCCTGAGTTCGATCACCAGCACCACACACACAAGTACATCCTACATATTTCAGTATTCCTGAATTATTTTTAACATTAAGCTATTGAAACTGATCTAAAGAGTAATGCTTAATGTATTATATAGCCTTCCTGCTTTAAAAATATACTTAATTTCTAAATACATAAAATGATTTATTTGATGGCTTTACGTACGTGTAGAGAATAAGAATTGATTATTTGCAGCTGGGAGGTGGTGGTACACGCCTTTAATCCCAGCACTTGGGTGGCAGAGGCAGGTAGATCTCCAAGTTTGAGGCCAGCCTGGTCTACAGAGCAAATACTGGGTCAGCCAGGGCTACACAGAGAAATCTCGACTTGAAAAAACAAAATGTATTTACTTATAAAATGCTTTTGAAGCCGGGTGGTGGAGGTGCATGCCTTTAACCCCAGCACTCAGGGAGGTAGAGGCAGGCGGAGTTCGAGGTCAGACTGGTCCACAGAGTGAGTTCCAGGACAGTCAGAACTACTCAGAGAAACTCTGTCTCGAAAACCAAAAGAAAGAAAGAAAGAAAGAAAAAAACTTTAAAAATATTTACATATTAGTTATACAGTATCTTTTTATGTGTAAAATATATTTTCCTAAAATTATCTGATATGTAAAAGTTACTAAGTTTATGTTACATGAAGTTTTAATAAAGCTGTGTTACTAAAAATATCCTTTTTCAGAGAGAAAAAAAACAACTGCATAGAACCAAGATATGGAAGTTCAGGTCCTATCCAGTTAAGGCAAGTCCCATTGTGAGGAAGTGCTTCCTTTGGAGGTAAGAGGACTGACTGCCACAGGGGTTCACGCTGTAGCCCAAGCCTGGCCTGGAACCTACAGCGATCTTCCTGCTTCAGCCCCTGAGTCTGAGATTACAGGCATGAGCCTCCATGCTCAACCAAACGTGTCTTAACGGCACTCAGAAAGCTTCGTGGCTGTTCCTTCCCCACCCTACCCCACCCTAGAATTACATTTGGAGTTCAATTTGCATTCTGTTGGAATGGTTGGAAGTGGTCACTGGCAACGCTTAGTTGAATATTTTTCTCATGCCATAAAGAGCCCTGTGTTCACTACATTTTAGGGCTGGGGAGTACCTGCTTCCTCTTCCATCCCCATCTGTCTCTGGATGGGCTTATTGCTTTTGGCTTATCTGGAGCTAGGCCAAATAAGAATGGGCATCCTACTATGTCAGACATGGGTGTATACATTACGGGCCCTGCACGATGCCTCTCTGAGCCCTCTATGGACTAAACGCTTCTGGGTCTGGAGCAAACAACAGAGCAAAGGAAGAGAGAACTGCAGAAACTGGGAAAAGCCAGGAGTCTCAGAGGGAGAAAACAACTCTGCTGGACCTGGAGAATCAGCAACTGGAGTTTAAGCACACAGACCGGTTAACCAGCCAGATGAGATATACGTAGGGGAGCTACAGAGTCAAAGCATGGCCTGATGTACACAGACCCTCGGATGGAGATGTGGTCACTCAGGCTGCAGAAGAGGGAGAGACCCCAGGAGAAGGGACCTGATGAACCAAGCCCAAAACTCACTTGTCCAGGCTATGAGTGTTTGACAAAATCTTTGAACTCTTTGAACACGCTGACTTTGTGGAAGCCCCGTAATTAAAGATGCCTGAATAGGGAGTTGCCAGGACAAAGTAACAGTATGGTGTAGGGACCCTCTCTTTTTCCCACTGGACAAGCTAGCCACACAGAAGTGATTGGCACAAAGTGGAGAAAAGACACACAACAGATACCCACAATCTTCCACACGCACACCTAGGTACAGCCCTCAGTGACAGCGTTAAGCATACAGAGTGCCTGAATCTGCTTGCCAGTTCCATACAGCAGTGTGGCTGTCCCTTCTGAGCACACATGCACAGTAGGAAGCCTTTTTAACTCCTAGAACCCAGGTGAGGATGGAGGCTCTGGCAGAGGGATGAGGTAAGGATGGTTTTGCATCACCAGGTACCATGTCCCTGTATCACACAGGGCTCTGACAACAGGTTCATGTTGCCAAGGACAGATGCTCTTGTAAACAGATTATCCCCACAAGGATGGGTGACAAATACTGCCAACATGTGTATGGCACCTGTGGAGTATGGACTCTGGCAGATGCTGTACCCTAACTCAAACCCCCAAATCAAACCATCTCTACTGGACATGGGAATGACACTTTTTGGAATTTATCCTATTATGAAAACTATGAAAGAAAAACAATCCACTTCACCACATGCACCCCAAATGAGCAGCGAAGGGGTAGAGCCTGGCAGCTATGTAGATGAGAAAGGATTCTGATGAGTGCTCTGGAAAACGGAAGATGAATACACACAGAACAATACCCCAACCCCAAATCCATGGATAGATCCTTGTGGGTACAGCATCTCCTCCTTTGGGCTATTGATGCATGCTATGGGTTCCCAAATCCAGTAAGTTCCTCAAGGATATACACTAGATGTTGTCAGTGTTGTGGCCATAGTCAGAGTATCCTGCATACATTGTCACCTGGGCTCCAGCCCTCTGCCTGCAGTCTGTGACAGCCATGCTTTGCTGATGGGTTTTGGTAACACCTTTGTATACTCTATCCTTGAACATCATAAGCAAATTCTAGAAATCAAAGAAAAAATCCAAAACACAAACAGTTCCTGTCCCAAAGGAGCTTTGTACATATTATTTATAAAGCAAAAACCTGGGAACTGTGTAGACGGCCAAGAATGGGCAAGGACACTGGGGTGCAGCCTTCCAACAGAAGAGTGAGCCATCACAGGCGATGACACCCACAAAGACTGTTCAATGACTAGATGACTGTGATGCAGTGGTATACGAACAAGCTGATTCATCATGTTATGATTTCATCACTCTTTAAGGAGACAGACACACGTGCTGGAAGGGAAAAACCTCAGTGTTTACAGTGGTTTACTCTTAACTCTGGTCACCAGAGTTGGGACTGATTTTTCTCTTTTGCAGTCTACAGACTGAATGAGGACCTGACACAATCGTAGTGGGTACTCTCTCACTGAGCTAAAGTACTCCCAAGACGTGTGTATGTTCTCCATAGCCGGTTATGATCAGAAAAAAAGAAATGCCAGGTGGCTTTAGTGCTTTTGTTTTCTACACTTGAAGGAGATGGGGAGACTCTACTCTGAGTGATGGGAAAGGACCCCATCTCTTGGATCTCTCCTTGAACTCTAGGTTTCAGAGGCTCAGGCTGCTTGCATGCTCACCCCCCTGCTCCGGCTCTTAGGATCTCTTTGCCTATGGTGCTGGGGAGTGAAACACAAGGTCTTGTTGCACACTAGGCAAGACTCCTGCCAGCAACCCACAGCCCTACCCCCACTTCCTTTTTTTTTTTTTGAGGCAAGGTTTGGCTAAGTCACCCAGGCAGAACTTTAATACCCCTAGTAGCCCACTGAGCCGGGAATTGTGATCCTCCTGCCTCAACTTCCCAAGTAGTTGGGATCAGAGAGCTGCATCATCGGAGGAAAAGCTGCTTTGGACTCACCAAGTTCAGTCTCAGGAGACAGACTGCACCTTCTCTAAGGAAAGGATGGGAGAGCCATTGCCACCATCCCATATACTTGTGGCAGTGTACCACATAAAGTGTGTTATAGCACACCTCATAGCAAATGCATCTTCCCTCAAAGGCAGAGGACTCCGGCCGTGGGAACTTCCAAAAGTCTCCCAGAACATTCACACTACAGTGAACTCAACCAAGGCCCTTAGAACACACGGGTTCCATCTCCCTGCAAACACAGGAAGGGCAAAGCGGATGAAAGGCCAAAGAAGTGGCTGAGAAAAAGCATTTGGGTTTCTGCAAGCCCCAAACGTTTCCTGAACACTGGGAGAGTCCCATCAAAGTCCTCCAGCCTTCCCAGCGATGGGATCAGGCAGGCATTCTATGCGCCCAGTGCAGCTGTGACCAATACTAGCCACCCTGCAACATCACCAGTTCCAGTGACTGGGAACTGTCATCCTGCAGCTCCAGACTCAGCTGGCTCACTGATGGACCTGTCCCTGTGCCCAGAAATAAATGCCTTGGGATACTGCCACATCTGTCCATGTAGTCCTGTATGACCAAGAGTGACTGGCAGAGAATGCATCAGGCTATCTCGGGCCTTCTGGGGAAGGCTACTTAAATGTCCTTTTCATGGACCTCTGTCCTATGTAGAATGACGCAGATCTAAGGCCCGGTCTTTGGAGACCTCTATGTCTAAACTAACTTCATTTTTAGGACCAGAACCCCCATCAACAAATAGAGAGCTACTTGGTTATTAAGGAAAAAAACAGGAACCTTCCCTCGTAGGAATGGAGCTGAAGCTGGGAGACACAAGAGACGGACAGGGAGCCTAGTGGAGGGTAAGCATACTCTCAGTGCAGGGGGGTGGGGCACTGTTCTTCGTCAGAAGCAGCTTGATGCCCTCCTGGGGTCCCTCACGGTTTCTTCCAGCTCGTTGAATGTGTTTTGAATGTGTTTTCTGTCACTGGGCTAAATGCCCATGACCTTCGAAAGGAATCGATGCTACAGAGGGAAGACATTTCCAACTGTGAGATACTAAAGTCATCTGTAAGCAGCTGTTTCCCTCGCCTCGTCCACACTCAGGATCTCCAAAGTTGTGACTGAGTCCCGACTCAGGTCTTGACCTCCAAGAGACCAGAACTTCTGTAG